ATGCCAACATGCCTGCCTTATTAAATTGGAACTTTAAGCATAGTTTTGCCTTTGACTCTGATTTAATTGTGCATGATATTTGGAACGCTGACACTCTGGTCCTTCCTATTCTGTTGTTTTCTTCTATTTCTTTGAACTGTTTATTTAAGAAGACATGATCTCTTCTAGCTATTTTCTGGAATTCTGAATTCAATTGGGTGTATCTCTTTCTCCCTTGTTTCCCTTCTTTCCTCAGCTATTTGCAAAGCTTCCTCAGACAGCCATTTTGCTTTCTTGCATTTCTTTTTCTTTGGGATGGCTTTAGTTGCTACCTCTTGTACTATGTTGCGAACCTCTGTCCATAGTTCTTCAGGCACTCTGTCTATCAGATCTAATTCCTCTATTTGTCACCTCTACTGTATATTCATCAGAGATATGATTTAGTTCAGACCTAAGTGGCCTAGTGCTTTTCCCTACTTTCTTCAATTTAAGCCTAAATTTTGCAATAAGAAACTCATGGCCTGAGCCACAATCAGCTCCTAGTCTTGTTTTTCCTGACTGTATAGAGCTTCTCCATCTTTGGCTGCAGAGCACATAGTCAATCTGATTTCTGTGTTGACTGGTGAGGTCCATGTGTCTCTTGGGCTGTTAGAAGAGTGTGTTTGCTATGACCATTGTATTCTCTTGACAAGATTCTATCAGCCTGTGCCCTGCTTCATTTTGTATTCCAAGGCCAAACTTGCCTGTTATTCTGGTTATCTTTTGGCTTCCTACTTTAGCATTCCAATCCCCCCTGATGATAAAGACATCATTTTTGGTGTTAATTCTATAAGGTACTGTAGGACTTCATAGAATCAGTCAATTTTATCCTCTTCAGCACCAGTGGTTGGGACATAGACTTGGACTAGCCTGATGTTGAATGGTTTTCCTTGGATTCGAACTGAGATCATTGTCATTTTGGGGATTGTATCCCAGTATTACAACAAGGCAGTAATCCATGAAGGGGGATTTATTTCAAAAATAAAGTTTATTAAAGAGGCTCGAATCTACATAACATATAGTCCTTATTGTTTAGTATATGAAAAGGTTAGGAGAAATCAATTGTTTGGAAGAATTAGTGGTAAAAGGTAAGCAGGCCATCAGAGAACATGGTGTCTGGACACCATCAAAGCTGACATCAGCCAAAGCATAGAAAAACTCAAAGCAATGCAAAATCAGAAGATATGAAGACTTGATCCTTAGAATCAAGTGTCAGACATGACTGAATAGAGACAACCCTATTGCTGCCTGAAGTTGGGCTACTCTCTAGGCCAGTGATGGCCAACCTATGACACGCGTGTCA